AAGGAAGCCATAATTAAGACAATTAACCTATCATACACACGTAATTATGATTTCTACTTCAATACTTGTAAGAATTACTAACATGTTGCTACATGATACAAATTTAAAAAGAACTTCAAAGCAGCAGTTAATATGTTATAAAATAAAACAGGAGACAATTAAAACTGTTCAACTGACTACAGAGAATACTACCACAGGAGAGTATACTTGGTGTGTGGTTAGGATGAATTTTCTTCACAGCAGCCCATAAGGTACTGTGGTTTGGATTTGTAATCAAAATAGTATTGATAACACACCAATATTTCAGCTATTTCTGAACAGTGCTTGCACAGCAAAAAGACTTTCTAGACTTTCTATTTTTCCCACTCTAATTTCCACTCTCTGCCAGCAAGTAGACTAAAAGGTAGGCAGAAGATTGTGAGGGGTCACTGATAGGACAGCTGACCCAAATTGATTAAAGGAATACCTCATCACATATCATCATATCACATATTGTTTGGAAAAAAATCTGAGGGTCATATTTTCCAGAGTAATTGTTGCTTGGAGACTGGCTGGGCATCTCACTGCTTGTGGAACATGGCAAGTTACTGCCTTTGTGTCACTTAATGTCCACACACATACACACTGTCCTTCATTTAAATCGCCTTCATCTTGACCCAAGAGTTTTTCTTGCATTTGCTCTTCTGATTCTACCCCTCTTATTACTGGATGGACCTGAGCCATCAGCTGATTTAATTGCTAGCCAGGGTCAGCTCCCTTCAGAATCCCAAAAGACAGAGTTACTCCTTACAAACTAAGGAATGAGAAGTCATGCAGGTCAGATTTAAGGAAATTTAGGATAACTTGGAGTTCTAGGGAAAAAAAAAACAAAACTACAGGTGAATTGAAAAATTATTGTAATAGCTAGGGATTTCAGAAGTATTTAAAAAAAAAAAAAGTAGATTTTTCAATACATCAGAAGCCAGCTCGTTGAACAGGTTCTGAACTACTAGGACAAAGATAAGGCAGATAAAGTCAGTGCAGTGATATTACATATTTCTGCATCTGCTTTCACTTTAGGAGATGTGGAACAGAAAATCCTGAGGCTTGTGTTAACTCTTTTCAGAAAAATGCAAAGTACTTATCGGCGTGAAAAAAAAAAAAAAAAGATGCAGCAGTCAAAGTACAAAGCCCTACAAATAGGCTCAAAATGAAACATTAAATCCTATGTCAGAAAAAAGCAGATGAGTAAGCCAACGGTGCTGACAAATTCAAAACCACCCCACAGATTAAATTAGACCCATGTATTTATGACTCATCTGAATAATTGCCGAGCAAGCTGTGTCTGAAAAAACATCTCAGCATGGGAGAATTTCTACACCTGGGTCACAGAAGGTAAGCTGTACTCAGTTGCCTTGCTTTGCAGCAGAACTCGTTGGTGCCTTGCAGAGAAAGCCAAGTGGTAAAGAGAAGCAGAAAGGAAACAGAACAAATGAAAGTTCAGAGTAGAGCTGTGATGAGCTGCAGAAGCAGATTAGTATAATTACAACAGATAGAGAACCAAGGCTGAGAAGAAAAGGATAAATCACATTCCATATGCATCAACACAGAGCTGTAGCGAGGCGTTTGGCAAGTAGATGCTCCCAGAAAAAACTCTGAAAGGTCATGTTAAGTTCGTAAGCTTTTCTGGACCGAACAACTGTTGCCACCATCTCAAATCTATTGCATTTCATTACCTGCTCTCACAATAACTCCTCTCTGAGGCAAATCTGTGAAGGCACAGGAGTTGCCTAAGGCCCCTCCTGCTACCTCTGGCACATGTGCTCTCTCCCTGACAATCACTGTGTTTCATCAAGACTTATCAAGCCCCACAGGAAGCCTTGCCATGCAATTGGCACCTCAGCTTCCAGCAACAGGACTCAGTCATTAAGGATTAGCTCACATAGATTATCCAGCCAAAGCACTGTACCACAACACACACAGTACAAAGAGAGGGGTCACATAGTATCCCAATTTTAAATAGTGAGGGGTTTCTTGGGGGAAGTGTGGGAGGCATATGCATAACTGGAGGAGGCTTAAAGGCTCCAGATGTGCAGAAGCCCTTCAGGACATAATTGAAAATTTTAGAGGAACATATGTTCAGGCTGAGAAGTGTCATCTCAATAAGAAACATTTCTTGAATCCAATTCATGAACAATTTCCTGAGAAAGATGTACAATTCTTTGAGCTTCAACTTTTTCAGTGCTACATTGAAACCTACTATGTGAGATCAAGGCTTCAAACACATGCAATCTTGTCAATACTGATTCTGATCACTGATTCAGAGTCTAATCATTTCCTTCTAACATTTCACCTCTTATCACTTGTCTACTGCAGACAAGACACTTCCTGGCAATTTACTTTCATTTCTTTAACATTTACAGTGACACAAAGCACTAAAGTATGAATTCTACTTCTAAAACCTAAAGGCAATAGAACACCCACTCTTATGGTATCTGAGCTCTCAATAACTGTTCAACCTGTTCTTCTACACTTCAGTTACAGATATTCTAAAGCTTCTGTAAGTAAACAAAGAGCCAGAGCACTTAAACTGTAGTTGATCATTTGTGAGTTGGAAGAGGAACCAGAAGACCCAGCAATATCCTTTGAGCCCTAGCTTCTATTGTAGAATTGTATTGTAACAGTAGCCTCTACTGTTGATCTATGAAATCCCATAGTTTTGTTATCTGACTCATGATTCTAAGTATCCAATGAGGGTAACATAGATGAACAATCAAACAATCTGATAAACAATCAAACTCACACAGAAAAAATTCCAAACACAAGATAATTGAAGCAGGATATAGAATCAGCAAGTCTAAACTCCAATCGGGTGAAGCATGAGTATTCCAGCAGCCCCAGAAACAGAAAAGCATTGTGGCTTAAAAATAGGGTGTGATACCAGATAACAGCAGTGATTCAGCTGGAAGACAATGAGAGTACAAAAGCAAGAGACAAGCCAAAACCTGCACTGTAATGACAACACACAGTCACAGCCTTAACATCTCCTTCAGCGCTGGAATGAGAGGTTAAGAACAGGGCAATCTGTTTCATGAGTACAAATAATAGGAAAAACTACAGCCATCACAAAAGCAAAACCCATCACAAACACAAATGGCTATTACCAGCTTATCTCCTGACAGCGATGCACGCTGCAGCCATCTGCAATCAAACACAGTAAAGCCACTTTGAAAAGCAGCACAGCTTTTGCAATTTGAACCAAGACATTTAGTCACAACCAAGAGTCTGACCATAAAGATTGCAGATGCAAAAGTGAACAATATTGGGAGCAAATGAACTTCGTTCCACAGTAAAATATATGTCTCGACTTGACTATCTACATGCTTATATGTGGAAAACGAGACAGTAACTCCTCATGCAATTGATAATGTCTATTTACACACTGTCCTTTTTTTTAAGTGAACAAACATACCAGTTGGTCCCACTGATGCAGTTTCATAGTTTTAGGGTCAAGAGATGGATACATACAAAATCTCTACCCAAAACCAGATATGAATGCTAAAGAAGCATTTCTACAATTATGAGGTGATAACATTTTTTTTCTTAGCTGCTTCCTGCCCTTTGATTCCCCTTGGATATTACTTCTAATAGACTAAAACTCTGAGCAACTGCTACTCTGAACCTGATCTCCCAAAGACAGACCATTAGTGCAGTCAGTGCCTCCCAGCAAACTCAACGGGCTTTGACATTTTAAGAGCTAGAGGAAGGGGTGGGGAGCAGAGTAGGAAAAGAGGCCACTACCCCTATTAAGAACACCATTTATGGTCACATCTTGTTAGACACCAGAAACTCTGCTAAAGACATACAGATAATTGGATTTAAATTTGTTTAGGATTCCCAAAGAACCACTTATTAATAGAAAACTCCCTACAAACTCACCAAATACAAGTTTCCTTCTTTCTCTAAAGATGACTTCCCAGAAATATTATCCCAATGATTACATTGTCTTTTATCAGACCTTCAACCCTGAACAGCTCTCTGCAGAAGGAAACACAGCAGAAGATGTTCAGAACTGTCAACACATTGAAGCCTTGCTGTGCTTGGCTATGACAGTGAGAGTTGGAAAAAGTGACCTTTACAGTCTGGTACCTAAACAGCACATGGCACTGCCTCTCTTCAATTCTTTCTTAAAAGTCTGTAGTATCAGAAACTGAAACCCTCCACATTTCTTACTCAGGACAGAATAGAGAAAAATTCACTGGCACAAGACAGAGAAACCTGATGTGTTCTCTCCATGATGTTATTGAAAGTTATTTGTCCATTTTCTATAGCTTTAAACTGTGCTGCTGCCCATGGGTGTGAATACTGTGTGCAGAGCCCTAGACACTATTTTTGTTACCCAGAGAATTCCTTGGTTTGCATCAGGGTGCTATTCATCTATTTCAGGATAAGTTAAGGTAGGGCTATCTAGCTAATGATAGGGTCTACTATAGTACCACGTAGACACCTAGTCTTGTCAAGCTTGTTCTTTAAACCCCTGTCTAATTGGGCTAGACAGTTTGTACCACACAGTAATTGTCCATACACTTCCAGTGAGGTGACAGCTAAGAAGAGAGCTGTACTTTCCGCAACCATAAATCACAGCGAAGGGGAGTGAGTAGAGATTACCAAATACACACCCCATCCCTTCAGTGCAGGAGAGCATGTAAACTGAGCTCCAGGTATGAATTCCAGCCTTACAACAAGTACAGGGCTCACTGCCAGTAAAGAGTAACTGCAAAAGGATTTAGTAAGGACCATAATGCCATGCTTAATTTCAGGTGTTAGGATCTTGTGGTCCCTGTAAGTCTCAGACAGCTCTCATAGTTCTGTAAAGGCCGACCCAGTTGAACTCAGCAAATGCAAATGTCAAGAAGAGATCTGAGAAACACATCTCAGGGATGACCTTAATTGCAACTTTACAGCATCTCGTTTCCCAGGGAAGCAGACAAGGAGCAAAAATTTACCACTTGAAATATTACCTGAACAAATCCCACGCACCACCTCCACACAAGGATCAACTATGCCAAACAGCACTTTCATGACAGCAATTTCAAGGGGATCCTGCATTTCTTTTCCTCCAGCCATAACCACTGTAGACCTCTTTACTGCAGAAAAGAAAATAAAGTAGTTAATATTGATCTGGAATCAAAATGTGCACCAAACACAAGATGCTGCTACCTCCTGATTCAGTAGGGGACTGACCTAGAAAACCCACAAAGCTGAACAGGGTTGCATCTGGACTGAGCCCATCTAAATACTACTCAAGGCTGCCAAAAGAGGACAGTTTCCTTTTCTCTGTGTTCACCCTGCCTCTTGAATAGCTTGAAAAGCTATTTCAACTCGTGTTCTGGAAAGTCATCCATGAAAGAAAAATAAAACTTTTATTTCAGGTAAGCAATTTAAATCAGGTCAGTGATGACTATGAGAACTGGAGGCAGCAAAACTGAAAGCAAGGAGCAGGCAAGATAAAAGAGAAGGTCACCATATCCTGCAGCAGAAATACAGACCACCTCAGCTGTATCATTTAACCATACTTCATGGGATTTGAAAAGGGAAAGGACAGAGATACAGTCTGGTCTCTAAAGCAGAAGTGCTCCAAGAAGGAAAAATTGCAGTGATGATTATGAAATGCAGATTCTTCATGTCCCCCCACAAAACCAAAATCAAAGGGACCAATAAACTCAGCCTTGTCCTAACTTGCTTGTCACTGAAGTGACTATTCAACTCTTCAGGGGGTCTGTCTGACAACAAGGGTCAGTCTGTCTCACAACATGCACTTCCAAAAAGCATTTATCAGGTTTTATTTATCTATTCATAAAATGCGCACCCTCCTCAAAACCCAGTGAAAACAAACAGATTAACACTAACACTACCAGCATAAGACTCACACCACCTGATGGTAGAGGGGGAGGAGGAAAAAGCCTGACCAGGGAGAAAAACAGGCAACAAACACAAACAGGAAAAACTACAGGAAAATCAGACAAATCCATATCTTGTGGGAAACAGGGAAAAATCTTGTTGGCTTCCAAGAACTTAAGTTTCCCTTTTCCCCCTCCCCACTCCAACTTATTAATTTACTAATTAAAAATAATTTTTTGAGTAATCTTTATTGGGAGTTTCCTGTTTACACAGCAGTTACTCCATGATCAAATAAACTCCCTGGCCTGAAGTACGTGACCTTGACACACACTCAGTCCAGCATACAGCAGTTACCTTGTAAACAGGAAGCTGCCAGTGCACCAAGGCACAGGAACAAGAAGCACACAGAAATTATACTTCTCCACTAGCACCTCCTGCAGCTTATGTCAAGTGCAAATCAGGAATTAAATCAAATAATATGTCATGAATACCTATGCCAACAAGTGTTTGCCAGCACTCTCTGAAGCTTTCTTGAAAAATCACAACTTACTTTTAACTGTAAACATCTTCCATGGGCTGACAGCCAAAAGACTTGCAGGCATCCCAGAGTGGCTTTTGAAAGGCATTTAGGCATAAATGAATAAGAGCAAAGCAGAGATAATTTTTGTTGTAACCTACACCTTAATGTTTTGGGGTTATAGGCAGCTGACAAGCACTAGTGCTCATACATTCTGGAAAGTATCAGGCTTTATGGGAATCACACACATGGCAACATCAGTCAAATATATGGGTGTATCAATGGAGACTTAAATACCAGGCTGCAGCTACATGGATGGCTCCCTGCTAAACTGCACCACAAAAGTCTGTCTATTGATAAGAGCAGGAGCAGTAACAAGGCTCATCCTCTGATCTTGAACACAAATTCCAAACTTTGCATTTTAATTTTAGACAAACTGGTCTACTTTACAAAAGTGATAGTCCCACCTCACCTTGGGTCTCCACAGTTCTAAGTTATATAGACCACAATAGGCCTACAAAAAATAATTTCCAAAAATACATGTCAAGCAATTAACAACAATCCCAACTCAACTCCATGATAGATAGTAGAAGGCCTGGACATAAAAGCAAGCCCAAGTTTGTCTCTTATGTGGAACACAGATATTCTCAGTTACCCTAGTCACTTCTCAGCAGTGGCCCATCTTAGTAGACAGTCTTCAGAGAATGTCCATCAGCAGTTACTTGCACAAAAAAGAAGGACAAATGGGCTAATACTAAGATGTTATAAAGATATTTCAAAGGGAGAATTTCCAAGCAGCTGTAGTCATCTGGTTTTGAAAGGCATTTGGCAGACACTGAGGGAGATTTTCAACATTCCTTTAAAACAGGCTAGGGCAAATCAATTAGCTCCCCCTTTAAATAACTGTATCTATCAAACCTCTGACACAGCCAGATCTAAAAGGGAACTCACTCCCAAGTTTAGCACCATTTTCCCCCTCTTTTCCAGAGTGCTTTGCTATATTGCAATCTACACAGGAAGCCACAGCTACCAGCTGCTTGCTGCACCAAGTTTTCTCTTACCCTAACACTCTTGAACAAGAGCCCATCAATTAAAAAAAAAAAAAAAACAAAAAAAAAAAAACAAAAAAAACAAAACAAAACACATAAAAATGGTTACAGCTGAAAGAGACCTCTGGAGATGGTTTAGTCTATCTATATAGACTAACATTTCATCCTTGAAAAAAGCATCAGCAGCTATACTCACTTGCAGATACCCACCACCACTAACAACATACTACAGTAAAGGTGCTGGACTCATGCTACCAATATTTGAACTTTGTGCCATATGAAAGGCATGAAACCCACCAAAAGATCCAAAGGGCTTTAAAGTACAGTATTCTCCAAAGCTGTCTTGCTGCACCTACAGATTCAAAGGGAAATACAAAAACTGACACCAGCAGCAGCCCCGCGGAAGGGCCCTTCCATTTAACTCGTGCTGACAGCACCATCTAGTGCATTACATGCAAACAGACCTTTTTCCATAGGTAGCAAAACAGGAAGTAAACACCACACAGTAATTTCTAGTAAAATTAGAAAATGCAGGTATTGCTTAAAAATAACACGTTAAATAAACTTGTGGGCATACCAGACACCGAAAGGTCACTCCACAAGCACCTTACCCAAGTGATGATTGATGTGATCAGAAGAGACACACAAAAATTGCTTCAGTGTTTGGCTACAGAATCAGAAGCTAAGTGCCAGTAAAACTACTAGTGTCAAGTTCTGCCTATCTGACACTCCAGAGAACAGATAAATGGGATATATGTTGAATGAGTTCAAGTTGTAGCACTACAGTAGTAATCACCTTTCATCAAATCAAGAAGCCAATACAAAGTTGAAGAATAGGAACCTTTATTTCATTCTGTAAAACTTCACAATCACCTCATAATTTTTACCTCATCACATAATTCCATCTTTCATCATCTCTCTCTGCAGAAATACTTCAGCTCTTCAGGGCATGCTTTCAGACCTTGCTTGTACAGCTTTGAAGTGAGACAGACACAACAAACAGTGTTACAGAGAGCCTTTTGCACTCCAGCCCCCGCCACTGGAAAGGAAAAGTGCTCCCTTAAGCTAGCCAACAGGTGCTGTGCTGATCAGTCGTTTCTACCAACTTGTCCACTCTGGGAGCACAGGCAAACACAGTGAATATCACAGCCAAGATTCCTGGAACTGCATTGTTTTGGAGGGGGGAGTTCAAGGAATTGAGTTGGCTGGCTGCACCTATCAAGCTAGTCTAGCAAATATCTGCAGCCTTACAACAAAAACTATCCCATAGTCACCTTGCATTGCCTCTACTCACCTTGCTACGCCTCTACTCCAGTTAATTAAAAAAAAAAAAAAAAGGCAAAAAAAAAAGGCAGGTAGAGCTTTTATAACAGCATGTCAGGTAATAAGATATAAACATATATATTACCATAGCGGACAAAACAAGACTTACTTTATAATTGCAAATTACACACAGCCCTAATCATAGAATCATGAAATCATTAGGGTTGGAAAAGACCTCCAAGATCATCAATCCCAATCTTTGACCAATTACCACCACATCAACTGTAGGAGTAAGTGCCATGTCCAGTTGTTTCCTGAATGCCTCCAAGAGTGGTGACTGTACCACCTCCCTGGACAGCTCATTCCACTGCTTAACTAACCTTCCTGAAAAAAATTCTTCCTAATATGCAGCCTGAACCTTCCCTGGCACAGCATGAGGCCATTTCCTCTCATCCTGCTGATACTTGCCTGGAGAAGAGGCCAACCCCCACCACACAACAACCTTATTTCACATAGCTGTAGAGGGCAACAAGGTCTCCCTTGAACTTCCTGTTCTTTTGGGTGAGCCATGGGCTGCCAGCTTCTCCAGGAGAATGCTGTGGGACATAGCACCAAAGGCTTAACTGAAGTCCATGTAGACACATCCACAGCCTTTTCCTCATCCGATGGGCAGGTCACCTGGTCAAAAAGGAGATCAGGTTAGTCAAGAAGTTTAGTTAGCCTTTCCTAAACCCATGCTGTGACCTGATCCCCTGGTTGTATTGTACATACTGATAAACTAGCAAATGCAACTTAGTGCCCAACCTTCTTCATAAGCTGCCTGAAAGGGCAACTAAGATGAGGTGGTAAATTTCCACCTACATTACAGTAGAAAAGATTTATGCTCTAAACTGAAATTTATTTTAAAAGCAATGTGGATGAAGCACACTTGTTTCATATTTTGGAGAATAGTTTGGGTTGGAAGTGACCTTTAAGGTCATCCAGTTCCAAGCCCTCTATCACAGGCAGGGATACCTTCTACTAGATCAGGTTGGTCAGGGCTCCATCTAACCCGCCCTGCAACGCTTCCAGGGATGGGGCACACACAGCTTCTCTGGGCAGCCTGTGCCAGTGCCTCACCACTCCTACCGTAAAAAAATTCTTCCTGATATATAACCTAAACCTACTCACTTTCATCTTGAAGGCATTCCCTCTTGTCCTCAACCTACATATCCTTGTAAGAAGTCTCTCACCATCTTACTTGTAGACTTTCTTCAAGTACTAGGAGACTACAATTAAATCACCCCAAAGTCTTCCCTAGGCTGAACAATCCCAATTCTTTCAGCCTTTCCTCATAGGAGAGGTGCTCCAGCCCCCTCATCAGCTTGGCAACCCTCCTCTGAACTGGCCTGATTGCCAGAAGAAAGGAAAAAACAATGAAAAGGGGGGAGGAAAAGGTAAAAGACAAGAGAAAACCAGGGAACAGCAACATCAGTCAAATATACCCAGCACCAGGGGTTAAGTAAGTACTGTCAAACTTTGCCGCACTCAAGACTCTCAGAAAAGGCTCCAACACCACACAGAGCTGCCACAGCAGCACGGGAGCCACGCGAGCTCCCCGCAGTTCCCAGAGCCCTCCTCCTCTCCCTGCGCCCTACGCCAAACACTGCGCGGAACCGCCAGGGCCTGGCATGGCGGCTGCGCCCTCAGCGCCCTCAGCGCCCCGCGCGGCGCATGCGCCGCCGCCACCGCCCGCGGCGCGCTCTGACGCGAGGAGCGTAAACAAAGCGGCGCCCTGTGGGAAGAGGGAAGCGCTACGTGCAGGGAGAGACAGACTCCATCTTAGGCGCTCGTCGCGGCGGCGGGATGGCGACGGATGGCCGGGAGGAGAAGGGTATGTGGCGGCAGAGAGGGGGGTAAGCGTTAGGCCCCGGAGGGGGGGAAGGCTCAGGCGGGGGCCCGATCCCCGACTGAGCTTTCCCCCCCTCCCCGGGGCCACCTTGGGAGCTGGTGCTGGGCCTTCAGCCCGGAGACGTCCGTCTCCTCCCGGGAGCGGAGGGGCGGCGGGGTCCGGAGTGACCTTTCCAGGGTGATTTTTTCTTTTTCTTTTTCTTTTTTTTTTTTTTTTTTTTTTTTTTTTTTTGTGGAAGGGCTTCCTGTGTTTTGCTGGGGGACAGGAGGTAATAGGGCCCCTCATGCTTTAGTGTCCCGGGCTCGGGGCAAGGTGACTCGAGCAGCAGGAAGAGGGAGAAGTTTGTGGGCCGTAAGTTTTACATCATCAACAGCGAGTTACTACTGCAGGCTGTGTTTTCGCAAAAACACAATTTTGTTTTTATTGCGCTTTTTGTTTTTGCTTAGATCGCCAGGCCGTTTTGGTTTGGGGTTTTTTTGCAGGGTTTTCTGTGGGGGGATGTAGTTACTTTAGTAAGCAGAAGCTGGTGTTGGAATCTTACTTTGCTGATTGTTGCTCGGCTTTTTGCAGTCAGCTCTGAATTCTGGGCACTGTGGGTAAGTAAATTTGAGTTAGAGGAATCGGACGATTTCAGAGTCATTACTCTGGAATAATAATAATAATCTAGGGTCATTACTGTCGAATAATAGAATCACAGCTCTTATAACTGACTGCCTCTATCCACGGAAGCCGAAGTGATCCGCATGTTATCTGTGAGATTGTATTAGCCAGTCGTCACAAAATAGCCTCTTTAAGAAGCAAAACCAAAGTTAGGTGTAGCAGATTGCCATTTTTATAAAGGGCAAAGACATGGAAAAATCCCAATACATTTTGTTAGAGCTGATAAATAAAATTATTGGTGGTGCTTGATCCTTAATGGTATTATTGTAAGACTGGTAATTTGGGATATGATCCGCTTGTGTCAAAACAGATCTGATCACCCACTGTGGATGAGCAGTGAATTTGAAATGTTTGCTGTTGTCATCTATAAATTTCTTTTCATATAAATATTTATCCAGTTGGGTTTAACTTTTTTTTTAGTGTTTGTTAATCACTGCCAGTGGTCAAGTTATATTTTTAATTTATTTTTAATTATTTTTCATGTGAAAGGGGTTATTTTTGACCAAATAACAGGTGTTGATGCACATTTGCAGCTGAACTGTTTTCTGCTCTAAGTGCTCCCATTGGAAGAGAAATGCTGTTTTACCACTTAAAAAAGCAGAAATACATCTTGCAGACCTGTTTAGTTTGAAATCACATGGTCTTATTTCTTTTGTGTGCCAAATCAGATTTTTGGTTGGACCCTTCCAATAGTTTTAATTCTCCTGGCCAGCAGAGGAAATGGCCTCCCAGGCTACCTTCCTGCTATTTTGGGTGAGTTAAATTTGTTCATGGAAGGATCCCACAAAAGACAAGCGACAGGCGAGCCCTGTTGGGAGTATCTGTCACAGAAAGAACTCATTTGGTCCCTCCCTCTACAGTGGTGATAGACCATAAAACACCTGTCCTCTGGCATTTTTCTCTTTCTGCTTTTGTGTTTTTCCTGATACTTCTATGAGATAATTTAGTTCTTCAGGTTGAACAGTGACAGTGGTGGTTCAGTGAGAGGAATCATCTTGTGCAAGTCAGTCAAGCAGCATATCCAGTGTGAGACAGGAAGCAGGCTGCTAAATAAATCTGGAGATGCGTTTCTAAACAAGTCAGGTCAATGTACCTATAGAAGGGGATGGAGGAACTCATCCTGCTCCTGTCTACTGCACCCTTTTTAATGTTCCAGCTGCAAATGAGGCCCATCTAACCTGAAAGGGATTTAGGAGAGAGTGTGTATCAGACTTGCATTTTTTGTTAAATTTTCCTTCTCATTTACTTCTGAATGAGCTGATACAGGAATCTTTTAACACCGTGCAATGCTGCTGCAGTAGGTAGGTTAAATGTAGCTTACTCTAGTATGCTGTTGTCTCACCGAGAGGGAAACAAATTTAAGGTTCAATACATGTGATTTGAGATGGATGATACGTTTAATTTTCTAATCTCAGTGCACCTCTTTTTCATTAGTGTCCAGTAAAAAAACCCTTGTGCTCTAGACTTGCCAAGCTTCCTGTGGGCAAGCAGAATTCAAGCCAGGAAATTGCATCCCATGTTTGGCAGTTGCACAGCCATGAATCTGACTCTCATGTATTCATCAGTCACAGCAAGAATATTTGCTGTGGATGTATATCTACAAACAGAAAGGGATGTTCCCAAGACAATTGTGTTGCAAGTTTGTGTTGCATTTAAATGCCTGCTAACTGTAAACTGCCAGGGAAATGTTTGATCCACTTCTCTCTGCACCATCTCCTTTGCATTAGAGACATCAACTGAACCGTCCAGGGATCACTTCTACATTCTCTTAGCACTGAAAATGTGGAGAAATTCCAGCAGGAAAGTTAGTGCACGTTCTGACTTCAGATTTGGTAGTATATAGTAGAGAGACAATTATAATAGATTTTATATATATGTATATGTAACGTGGATTACGTGTGGGTTTGTTTTTTTTTAATATCAAGCTATACATTTTATTTTGTGGCTCTTCTCAATATGTTGAGATAGGCAAGCTGCCAAGCTCTGGAGGAGTTAATTTGCTGCATTAGCTCAGTTTCATGCAGTACAGTAATCCCTACCTGCATCTGCTACTGATATTGTAAACCAGCTGAATCCTTGGAGGTTGCTCTGGTTTCTTTTTCCTGAGCACAGAAAATGCAATCAATCACAAAGTGGAAAGAACTAAGAATTTTGGAGACATTCCAAAATTAATACCTTTTTTATTTTTCCCTTTGCATGTTTAGGCTTAGTTCACTCTTTTTAAAGTGCTTGGAATATAGATCTGCTACCCTAAAGCTTGTGACTCCTTCTTCTAATAGAGTTACCATATATCCCTTTTGGCTTCAGGCAAAGTAAAACAGCCAGAAATAGTCACAGATTTTTAAAGTTTTGTGAGCAGGTGTGGTCATTTACTGCTTCTGGCATGATTTTTCTTTAACACTTGCTCTTTTGATCAAGTTGTGGGTTTTTTTCAGAACATCTCAGAGTTAATGATGCAGCAGATGAGTACTACTTTCCCCATTTTGGTTTTTTCTATTTGTAAGTGAACCACAAAACCCACCATTCTGACACAGCAATGACAACAAAAATAGTGGAAGAGAGATAATTCAGCATGCAGATTTGAGAAGTTTGCAGAGATAAGAGTCCCTCCTCTTTACTAAGGACACTCAGACTCCTGGTCTCCCTTTTACTAAAATTTTATACAGGCTTTTATGTTCAGCTTTCATTTGTAGGTCAACTTTCCTGCAAAGCTTTTGTGACATGAGGAGCCAACTTGGACCTTGTTTAGAGGTCTAAATGCATCTTGTGACATATTTTAATTCTTTTCTTGGCTCTGTCTGATCCTTCCAAATGAAAGTGTATAAATACATCAAGAAGATGTTAATTTTTGCTTTGTTGCAGATCTGTAGCCCTCAAGGAAATGTTTGGGTTTGTAAATATTATTTCTGTAGTTTACATATCCAGACTTTTTATGGTTGATTTTGACTTTTTTTGTGTATTTTCAGATGGTGAACTGAATGTTCTGGATGACATTTTAACTGATGCTCCTGACCAGGATGATGAGTTGTATAACCCCGACAGTGAGCAAGACAAAAGTGAGAAAAAGGGTATGTGACTTTGGTAGTGGATGTTCTGCAGGAACATAAGTGGTAAAAAATGTCTGTCTTATTTCAGTTAGTCTTTGAAGTAGTGGATTTTATAACTTGATTCAAGGTGTGAATGAGTTCCAAAAGTCTTTATTTCGTGGACATGTGCTTTTCCACCTGACCCTCCAAGCAAGCAGTCAAATCCATTTCCTTTTGTCTCAAGAGCAGTTGCTGAGTCTGTCTTGTTCTGAATTCATTTGCTATTAGAAAATGACTGTCCTTTTTGTCTCAATAAAGTGAGATGGAAGTGCAGCAAAGGGGTTGCAAAGTCTGATTCCAGATCAGTTCTTGATTTGGCTTTAGGCCAATCTAAGCATTTAATTTAGCATTTTTATGTATAAAATCTGAGAAACACGTACTTCTTGTGAAGTAAAATGCATGTTTTAGAACATGAGCTGTTCCTAAGAAGCAGTTTTGAGTGTTGCTGCAAAGCCTACAACTGGAAGATATTCTTTATGACTGTAGCAGGGTAATTACCTAAAATAGAGGAAGAAGAAGCCTCTGTACAGTTTTTGTTTTGATATTGGAAATAATACTGAACTTGATATTTCTTTCTATTTAAGGATCAAAAAGAAAAACTGACAGAATGGAAAATGCTGAAAGCAAGAGGCAAAAACCTTCTGTGCATTCCTCGAGGCAGATGATGCCAAAGCCTCCCAGTTCATCAGTTAGCAATAACAAGAGAATAGTGAGTACGAAAGGAAAGCTGATGTCAGACTACAAGACCGAGGAGTATCAGAGATCTGACAGAAACAAGCGCCCAGATGGCGATCGGAAGATGCGAATGTCAAGCAGTTCCAGGGAACCTTATAAAGGACAACCAGAAAAATCTTACATGAGGAAGAGGGATATTGACAGAAGGGCAAAGTCTTCTACACCGGACGGTTCAGAGGTATTAAGTATTCTTGCTGCCTTATAAATAAGCAATTTTATGAGACTTTTGTAAGGCACGTTCTCTTAGGACTGTGTGTGCATCCTGACAATGTTATATGACTGCTGATTCACTTTTTCT